GTTGGAGTGGCAAAGGGGTTGCTTCAGCCGGAGGGGAAGGAAGGCATCCGCTTTCGTGAAGAGCGAATCATGGTTGGTTTTTGGGGCGAAGGATGACGATGGCCCATGAGAGAGGACGAGACACCTGTTGTGTACGCCGGCGACGCACTTGCGGTAGCCTTCATGGGACCCCAAGCGGCGGCGGCCTCCCATGTTCTACTTTTCCTCGATGTCAACGACGGCCGATCTCCAAGCCGGCTTCTTTCTGCGCCGGCAGGGCACGGTTCCGTGAACGTTGACTTCGGATGGCTCGGCGTCTGGCCTCATCCACGGCAGTCATATGATGCCCGTTCCGCCGTGCTGGCATGGAGCAACTCGCCACTCCTCTGCGAGCTGGCTTGGAGCAGCGAGTTGTTGACCCAGGGCCCGGCTTCTTTCTGCGCCGGCAGGGCGTGGTTCCGCGAACGTTGACTTCGGATGGCTCGGCGTCTGGCCTCGTCCACGGCATCCATTATGCTCGTTCCGTTGTGCTGGCCCGGAGCAACTCGCCACTCCTCCGCGAGCTAGCTTGAAGCAGCGAGTTGCTGACCCAGGGGCAGGCTTGGAGCAGCGCGTTGCCTGGCTTGTATCCAGCGGGCTTAGCAAGCCACTCAGCCGGCTTTTATACCGGAGAACTACCCTTCCTGCTCGTCGGATGCCATGAGAAGGGTGAAGAAAATGGTGGAAGGAAGAGATGGGGAGCGGAAGAGTGGTCCGCTTCTTGCTTGGCGTCTGGCCGCCTTTAAATAGCGGGCGGGCACGAGGAGCTTGCCCGGGTTTGTGTTTAATGTCGGCCGGCTCGCGAACGGACTTGTGGTTGGAGTAGATTTCTCAGCACACGCGCAGATTTAATGAAGGCGTTTGAATGCGGCGAGGAGGCATGTTCAGCCGAGTGTGCGGCGAGCGGCGCTCTCTTGACTGGCGTGCCGCTTCAATGTCGGCGCCGGTGAGAGGTCGCGTCCGCTCTGGGCCGCCTTCAATGCGGAGTGGCCGCTCTACAGCGGCATGAATGTGGGCAGCTGGCGCCAGGCGGGAAGCGCGGGCGAGCGAGGGGCGGGATTTTTGGTGGGTCAGGGCGGTCAAAAGCGGGTGTGGCTTCGGCCGCCCACAACCCCCCTCCCCCCTCGTTTGTCTCTGGTTTGCGGAAGAAAGTGCATCTGGACCGTCCTGCGGACCGATGTAAGATCCCGTTGGATGGCAAAACATGTTCGGACTGGATAGTCCGGACGGTTGCGGGCGGTTTGAGAGTCGGCGTTGAAGATGCCCTTACGAACAATGTATACAATTTAACCTACGGACTCATCTCCCCTACCCTTGATTTCCAACCACATCTTGCAAGACAACCACAACATTAAAATAATCTCTATATAAACTAATATAAGATCTTTTCAATCATTAATGTAATGATTGAAAAGATCTTATATTACTACCTTTCATTTTGGTTTATTGGTCTTCTTTGTAATTTGTGCCAAATTTTGATTAAATATTTAACTAATAAAATGTTAATGCATGTCAACAAAAATTATATGGTTGGATTCGTATTTGGACCTAGTTTTCTTATATTACTACCTTCGTTCTGGTTTATTGATCTCCTTTATAATTTGTGCCAAAATTTGATCAAATATTTAACTAATAAAATGTTAATTCATGTCAACTAAAATTATATGGTTGGATTCGTATTTGGACCTAGATTTCAATTATATAATGTTTTGTGACATGCATAAATATTTTGTTAATTAAATTTATGATCAAAATTTGACATGAAATACAATAAAAACTAATAAAACAGGACGAAGGTAGTAGTTTATAGATCGAGTAGTAATTTTCGGATGCCGCGCCCGCACTGGGAAGCATTGGCTAGGCACACTATGTTTGCAATCGATCACTTCATCAAAAGGATCATAGTGTCCAGATATCGTTTCGACCTGAGTTAACCTAGTCCTTCAGCGCTCATTCAGAGACACCAACTGTATTCATAAGCGGGATCTTCGGACGCGGCACATGGCGAAAAGCTATACAGTTGCTTTAGATGCTGGGAGCTAATTCAAACTGCTCTTACAATCATTTGGTCCGGGTGACAAAGATGATGTTCCTACTGTCAAAAACTTTTTTTTTGCGGGGGTAATGTCAAAAACTTTGCGAATTTTAAACTCATGCACATCAGCACATGTGCATGTCCACTATGCACATCTAAATTTTCTCAGGAAAATGATAATTTATGTGGATTGTGTAACAAAAAAGAAAGTGCTCCAAAAAAGGGCTTTTCAGAGCACTTGTTTTTGTTGTTTTCGCTCATCGCAAAGTACGTGTATTTCTAATGAAACTTTGCAAGCATGTAAATGCACAAAACACAAACAATGTATTTTTCTTTACATCTTAACAATTTTATTGTTCACACTGGAAACGTATCACTGGTAGAAAAAAGGCATATAGTCCCGGTTCGTAAGGGTCTTTAGTCCCGGTTCCGGAACCGGGACTAAAGTGTCGGTACTAATACCTCCCCCCTTTAGTCCCGATTCAATCCAGAACCGGGACTAAAGGCCCTCCACGTGGGCAGTGCGCAGAGCCCCGTCAGGAGACCCTTTGGTCCCGGTTGCCACCAACCGGGACCA